CCCCTCATCCCCCACTTCTTCCTCCTCCTCCTCCTCATCCTCCTCCTCCCCCTCTCTCTCATAAGGATCGATCAGCTCCCCCGAAGCCTGCCCTCCACCGCCACAACCTGCCTCCCGCCCTCCCCCAACCACCCGCAGCCGTTTTTGGCTCAGTCTCTTTCGGAGGCACCTCGCGTTGCTCGCTTCGGGGCGTTCGCCCATACACTTGGCTGACGCCATGTCCATTGGCGAGCAGCTGGTTGCCAACCTCAGATCGCGGGTGAGCCTCGTCGAGTCGCAGGCGGCTGCTGGCCTCGACCGCGACGCTCTCCTTGCCAGCCAGGCGGATGCCTTTCGGGTCGACTTGCGCGCCGTGGGGTCCATGCCCATCGGCGACATCACGCTTCTCTCTGCTGAGATTGCCAACGGTCCGTGGGCCCCCGATCAGAAGACGACGCTGGCCACCGCCGTGGGCCAAGCCGTCGGGCCCGTGTCGAGCGGAAGCCAGAAGCAGTCCAGGGAGAACCAGACCATGCGCTTCGTGGAGAGGTTCCTGACCGAGGGCGATTGGGATCGCCTCCAGGACTCTGGCATCTCCGTCGAGGCCAAGCTCAACCACGTGGCTGATCGGTTGTGGCGGTGGGGCGTAACGTGCCCGTCTATTCCCTTGCTCAAGCGCACGGTGGCGATCGTGGTGAAGGTCGGGCTCCCCGCCGAGAGCGAGGGCGCGGCTGCCGAGGTCAAGCAGCAGTGGTGCGTGGTGCTGAAGGACGCGATCAAGGCCCTCGACGCGCAGCGGCAGCACCCTGCACAGCACGTCAAGACGTTCTCGGAGGCGCCCTCGGACATGCCTGAGTCGACCCGCGTCTTCGCCTACAACGGCGGTGTGCCTGCTACTGCCCTGCCAGAGGCGGTGACGCCGCAGGCCCTCGATGTTGAGGTGAAGTCGTTCGGCTACAAGGCCAGCCACAGGAGCCTGAGGCCGTCTGCGACGACTTCTTCGAGCCCCTCGGCCTTGACGCTCGCGCGCCCTTGTGCGAGAGCGAGCGGGCAGCCTTTCTTGGGCATGGAGGGCATGAGCACCCAGCAGGGCATGCAGTTCCTTCTGCAGATGGCGCCATTCGTCAGCCAGATGATGAGCAACGCAGGCGGCTCCGACTCTGTCCCCCGCCAGTCGTGCCCGCTCACCTTCAACAGGCCGCGGCGCCCGTCAACAGCTGGCAGTGTGGCCCCAAGTGATGCCCTGAGCGTGCACGGTACGTTGTCTGCCCCCACGGTGCCAATGGGAGGCGTTGCCCACGACTTCGAGCAGGACTTGGGTGGCTTCGAGTCCCAGCTGTCGGGTGCAACGACCAGCGAGTCGCCGTCTCCGCCCTCTGGCGTCGGTGTCGGGGCGATCACTCCTGTGGCGGTCGTTCCTGTCGCAGGCGGCGGCGCAGTGGTGCCTGCGCTGGACGCTGCTCCTGCTGGTGCCGCTGGTGATGACGCAGTGTCGGAGTTGGAGAAGAAGCTGAATCTCTCCGCGGCAGCGGCTGGCAGCCGCTACGCGAACGAGGTTCGCAAGAGGCCCGCCGCCGCCGCGCTCGCCGCCGCCCCGCTCGCCGACGCCGACGCCGACGCCGACGTGCCGAAGGCGAAGGCGAAGGCGAAGGCGAAGGCGAAGGGCAAAGCCAAGGCCAAGGGCAAGGCCAAGGCAGCGCCCAAGGCCGCTGCGGCGAAAGGTTCGGGGCGATGGCACTTGAAAATGATGAGGAGGATGAGAAGGAGAAGGAGGAGGATGAGGAGGAGGAGGAGGAGGATGGGAAGGTGGAGAAGGAGGGAGGGAGGATGAGGAGGAGGGGGATGAGGAGGAGGAGGGGGAGGAGGAGGATGAGGAGGAGGAGGATGAGGAAGGGTGAGGGAGAGGAGGAGGATGAGGAGGAGGCTGGGAATGAGATAGTCGAACTTGTCCTGGATGGGCTGTCGTGGTTTTCGGGTCACGCCGTGGGCCGCACTTGGGGCCTTTGGCGTTGTTCAGGCCCGCCCCCTGGGCCACGGTAAAAAACACGCTCCGCATCCGCAATCATATTCTTCCTCCCTCTGCTCCTCCTCCTCCTCCTCCTCCTCCTCCTCCTCCTCCTCGTCCTCCTCCTCCTCCTCCTCTTCACTCCTTCTCCTCCTCCTCCTCCTCCTCCCCCCCCTCCTCCTCCCCCTCCTCCTCCTCCTCCTCCTGCGCCCTCGCAAGGCATGATGTCCAAAGGAGGGGTCGCCATCGACATTCGCGATGTTGTCTCGGTGGAGTCGATCGAGGGCCGCGACCGCAACACCTTCGCATCGCGGGCCTACGGTCGGGCCAAGAACCAGGCGAAGGCGGGGGGCTGAGCAACGCAGCCGTGAACGAGATCGCGAAGTGGGGGTTCAAGGTGGCCACCGAGGTGTGGGACAGCAGTTGAGCCAATCGCTTCAGTTTGTTTAGAATTGCAAGCACGTGAGTGAATGTATGCAGGCATCGGGGTTCGCTTCTCACACAATTCCTCTAGGTGCTTACGTGCCGCTGCATCCATGCGTTTATGGCATCGAGCGGCGGCATATTTTCGGCTGCGCTATGGCGCTATCACTTGCCGAAGAGCAGAACGGCATTGGAGAGCCCACTGAGTATGCGAGAACCGATTGCCTCTCCTCCTCCAGCCCCTCCGCCCGCTATCCCTGGGCCACAAACGCACTCGTGAGGGGGTGAGCTTGTGCCGCGTTGTGTTGTGCCGCGCTTCGTACCATGTCAACGCCAACGTACAATAGTTTAAGTTTCTACGCGTACGCCGTGCCGCGCAATGTCGTACCGCTCAGTTGCCAAGTGAACAAGTTGCTAAGTTGGTAAGATGGTACTTGTAAGTTGCTCAGCCGCTGAGCTGATCAGTTGCTGTCTTGCTCTGGTGATCAGTTGCTAAGTTGTTCAGTTGCTGAATATATGCAAATATTTATCTTGGTAAGATGCTAGTTCGCCGAGATGGTCAGTTTGCCAGTTGCTAAGGAGATCAGTTGATCGATTGCTCAGTTGCAAGGTTGGTCAATTGCTAAGCTGCTCAGGATGCACAACACGTATCCACACTTGCAACTATTCAAACACTAGGGAGTGGAGGGTGGATGGGAGGTCGTATGTAGCCGTTTTGGCTCCAGCTCTTGCTGGCGTCGCTGGGCAGCGATGCCTCCTCCTCCGAAGAGGGCCCGCACCAGTACCGTCAAGTATGGCAGGTCGTCTCACGCGACGGCCGCTGCGACTGCCGCCCTGATGGCCGACATCAAGAGGGAGGGCCTCCCCGAGGCATTCAGCGCGAAGACCTTGGCCAGGGACCGAGAGGCCAGAGTCATGGAGAAGACGAGTTTCGGCCCTTTGCTCTTAGAGAAGTCTTTGGGTGCAGGCGTTACCGCATGGTTCCAGCACCCGTTCGGCTGGATCGAGGCGGCCTGCAGGGCACCGGCTTCGTACAGGGAGATGTTCCTCGGCCCTGTGGCAAAGCACGGTGGTTCGCTGAATGTGTACATCTACTGCGACGAGATCGTGCCTGGCAACGTCTTGGACGGTAAGAACCGCCGCAAGACGCAGGCGTTCTATTGGAGCTTTGCTGAGATAGGCTGGCCCGAGCTCAGCAACGAACTCTGCTGGAACACCATCGTCGCGATGCGCAGCTCCCTCCTGCTCAGCGTGACGGGCGGCGTCTCCACGGTGATGAAGGAGTGTTTGAAGCTCTTCTTCGGCCAGCCTGCAGGTCCAGATCTTCGTCGAGGCGTGGCCCTGGACATATGTGGCCAGGTGTGCACGCGTCAGTAATCGCAGCTTGCTACCCACCCCCCACCCCCCCGCCTTAAAGGGCGGAGGGGGGAGGGGGGTGGAGGGGGGTGCGATGGCTGTTGTTTCATTTTTCGGCAAGCGGGTAAAACCAACCAGGGTAAGGAAGAGGATGGAGGGTTGACGGGCGGAGGGTCGGGGGAGGAGGAGGAGGAGGAGGAGGGGGAGGAGGGGGAGGAGGAGGAGGAGGAGGAGAAAGAGGAGGGGGAGGAGGAGGAGGGGGAGGAGGAGGGGGAGGGGGAGGAGGAGGAAGAGGAGGAGGAGGAGGAGGAGGAGGAGGAGGAGGAGGAGGAGGAGGAGGAGGGGTACCCCTCTATCAGGTCGTGGTAGTGCACGGCAGGCTGCGGGTCATGATCCAGGACGAGCGGGCCCACAAATATGTCTGCCAGGTGAAGGGCGCCACGGGCATCAAGCCCTGCATGCTCTGCAAGAACGTGGTGTGCCCCAGGAGCGACCTTCTCCCTGATCCGACTGGATGGTTGGTCCCTGCGCACTGCGTCGACACATCGCGCTTCGATCTCTACACGAACGAGGAGATCCACGGCATGCAGCGGCGCCTCAGGGATGCAGCTGCGCGGGGCGAGATGAGCGAGCTGAAGCGGCTCGAGATCCTCTACGGCTGGTGCTACCAGGAGGATGGCATCCTGCAGGACCCGCACTTGCAGCTGCCGCTGGCGGACGCACTCGCTTGGGATTGGATGCATTGCTATATGGTGGGAGGGCTGTTCGAGAGAGAGGTAAGTGAACTACTGGCAAGGCTGGACAAAGTAGGCTTAGGCTACAAGTGCCTTGATGAATACCTTCAAGGCTGGTGTTGGCCTAAGGGCTATGCGGGTGCGACAAGAGTGGTCTCTGGTGGGTTTCTGTCTGGCACGGCTTCAGAATACGTGTCGCTATCGCCAGTTCTTCAGCGTTTCCTCAATGATGTCGTTGCAAATGCTGATGCAGCCGTATATTTCAAGGCGGAGCTTGTCAGTGCATATTGCTTGTGTGAGGTAGTCAATTTGCTGATCATGAGCAACTCTGGCACTGTGACTCCACAGGCCCTTCAAGAAAAGATAGCTGCTCACATGGAGCGGCACAGGACCGCCTATGACGTTCAGCTTTTCAAGCCAAAAGATCACTGGATCTTGCATCTTCCTGGGCAATTGGCCCGCCATCATTGCCTCCTCTCCACATTCCTCATGGAGAGGAAGCACCGCGTCGCCAAGCGCATGTCGTCGGGCCGCCACAATACCGTAGGATTTGAAAAAGGCCTGATGCAAGATATTACTTTGCAGCATCTCCACGATGTGGGTCATCATCGTATTTTTGGCGTCGACTTGTTGGGCCCAACGCCTGCTAGCAAGCGCCTCGTGTCAGCGATTGCCAAGGTTCTGCCCGTAGGCGACGCCAGTGACATTGTTAGCTCGGCGTCCGTTGCTGTGAATGGCCGTGCAGTTTGTATAGGTGATTGCGTGGTATTCGTGAACGATTCTAGGCAGATTGCTTTTGGTGTGGTCCTGTTCCACGCTAAGATTTGCGAGCATTTGGTAACGTGTATATCGGAGTGGGACCTTCAGGATATGGGCACCAATTCTGCGAAGTGCATCGTGCTGACAGCCCCTGGTTTTTTACATGACCAGCAGCATCATTGAACCCTGCGTGTGGTTCCCTGCTGCTGAGGGCGGCCTTGCCACTGTGTTGTACCCGCATAAGTTAAAGCTGCGGGGTGCAACTAAATAGTAAGGGAGGGTGAGGATGATGAGGATGATGGCGATGATGATGGCGAGGAGGAGGAGGAGGAGGATGAGGAGGAGGGGGGGGGATGAGGAAGATGATGATGATAATGAGGAGGAGGAGGAGGAGGAGGAGGAGGAAGGGAGGAGGGGAGGAGGAGGATGGGGAAGAGGGGGAGGAAGAGGACGAGGAGAAGGCGGAGGTGGCGGGAGGAGGAGCAGTAGGATTGCGACGAGGATGGGGATGGATGAGGAGACGGCGGAGTAGGAGGAGGAGGAGGAGGAGGAGGAGGAGGAGGAGGAGCAGCAGCAGCAGCAGCATCAGCAGCAGCAGGAGCAGCAGGAGCAGCAGGAGCAGCAGGTGGAGGAGGTGGAGGATGTGGAGGAGAAGGATGAGGAGGAGGAAGAAGAGGAGTTCGGCTCTGTGCGCAGTTTCACGAGCGAGTCCGCGGGGGAGCAGCTCGCAACACGAGGCTGGGCACCGTTTGAAAATCGCCCATCCCTTCTGATCAAAGTGGCTGCATTTGTATTGTGTGCGATTATCTCTTTGGCTCGGCCTTCTCACCGCCAGACCTTGCGATCCGCGTAAGGGGTGCGCTGAAATGAGGTCGTGGGCCCAAGTGGCCTGGGTGCCCCAACATGGCCTGGTCTGGTATGCGTGCTGGCATGCTGTTATGGCCTTGCGTGCCGTGCTGGTCTGGTCTGGTCTGCTGTGCTGGTCCGCCTGCATGCTCTGCCGTGTGGGCCCATTGGGGGGTCCTCGGCCTTGCAGGGCCCAGGGGTCTCAGGGCTTCGCAGGGTTTCCACGGGCCCCCGAGGGAGTCCATTGGGTCTTCTTTGGGAGGTTGCGAGGATGTCTCAGGCGGGGCGATGGCTTCAACGCTCCCGAAGGGGACCGCCAGGATGAAAAAGACAGGCGCGGGGTAGGAGGAGGAGGAGGAGGAGGAGGAGGAGGAGGAGGAGGAGGAGGAGGAGGGGTAGGAGGAGGGAGGATTAGGAGGAGGCAGGAGAGGTAGGAGGAGGAGGAGGATGAGGAGGAGGGGGGGGGGAGGAGGAGGAGTAGGAGGGAGGAAAAGGAGGAGAGGAAGGAAGGAGGAGGAGGAGGATGAGGAGGAGGAGGAGGAGGAGGGAGGAGGAGGAGGAGGAGGAAGGAGGAGGATAAGGAGGAGGAGGAGGAGAGGGAAGAGGGGGAAAGGCCACTTCCTCGTCCTCCTTATCATTCTCATCCTCCTCCTCCTTCTCCTCCTTCTTCTCCTCTCCCCCCTCCTCCTCTCCTCCTCACTCCTCCTCCCTCCTCCTCCTCCTCCTGCTACTCCTCTTCCTCGTCCTTATCTGTGTCCTTGTCCTCCTCCTCCTCCTCCTCCTTCTCCTTATTCTATTTTATCTCGTCCACTTTGGTTGGGAGCCGCCGTCTTCTTCGACAGGAATCGTCGCCACCTGCTGACGGATGTCATCGACGGTGGAAGCATGTAAAAAAGGTTGGTCATCGCCAGGGTGCTTTGTTAGGGATGCGAAGGGTGCTTTGTTGGACTTTCCGCCACGCCCGCCAACGTATCGGGGTGCTTTGCTGGAGCTAGAGGGGTGCTTTGCTGGATATCCAACTGGTTTCGCCACGTCCGCCGACCATTGGAGGAACGGAAAAACGTAGGGCTTCCGCCCCCTCCGCCGACCTATGAGAAAACAAAGCCGAACCTTGGAGGAGGAGGAGGAGGAGGAGGAGGAGGAGGAGGTTTGCGCAGGAGGGTGAGGAAAGGTGGGAGGGAGAAAAAGATGATGAGAATGAGGAGGAGACGGAGGAGGGAGGGGAGGAGGAGGAGGAGGAGGAGGAGGAGGAGGAGGAGGAGGAGGAGGAGGAGGAGGAGGAGGAGGAGGAGATGGAGGAGGCGACGGAGGAGGCGGCAGAGGAGGAGGTTAGCCAGCTTACGCTAACCTGGTTAGCGCACTTGCGCTAACCTGGTTGGCGCGGCCTCGCTAACCTAGTTAGCGCGGCCTCGCTAACCTACTTAGCTAACTCGGCTTTAACCGCTCTATCTGCGTACCAACCGCTCTATCTGCATACCAACCACCCCGACGATCCCAGTAGGAGAGGAGAGTGAGGAGGAGGAGGAGGAGGAGGAGGAGGAGGAGGAGGAGGAGAGAGGAGGAGGTGAGCCAGCATGGAGGAGGAGGAGGAGGAGGAGAGGAGGAGGAGTAGGAGGAGCATAGAGGAGGAGGAGGAGGAGAGAGAGGAGGAGGAGGTGGAGGAGGAGGAGGAGCAGCATAGAGGAGGTGGAGCAGCATGGAGGAGGAGGGGGAGGAGGAGGAGGAGGAGGAGGAGGAGGAGGAGGTGGTCTGGGTCCGATGATCAGGGCGTGGGAGGTCTGGGGCTGTCGGCGGGCGCCCGGCCCGGCTCGCGGCCCGCCGCCTCCCCGCGGCCCGGCGCGCCCACCGGCCCCATGGCGAGGTCTCCAGGCGCGCGCGCGCGTGCGGCGCTGCCCCGCGCGCTGGGCCGGCGTCAGCGCGAGCGCCAGCGACTCTCCCCGACGACGACGACGACGACGACGACGACGACGACGACGACGACGACGACGCTGACGACCCAGGCCCCCTCGCGTCGCGACACATTCGCGACGGGAAAAGTTTGGCTGTTTTCGGCCTCCTGGGGCACTCGCCGGGCCTCGGGACCGGCAAACAACGACTCAGCGTGGAAAGCCCGTCCCGGGGGGGGGGGCCCAGACCTCTGGGGGTCGACGTTGTGAACAACTTCCGTATGACGTCGGGGATCTGGATCCCCAGCCTCTCTCGCCGACGACGATCGTCAGCGTCTCTCCCCGAGAACGACGACGACGAGAACGACGAAGACGACGACGACGCCGCCTCCGCCGCCGCCGCCGCCGACGACGACGACGACGAGGCCGACGACGACGACACTTTTTGAGTGTTTACCCTCCTTGTGAGCCTCCGAGAGGCTTCTCGTCGGCGGCTGGGAAACCCTCGAGGTCCTGACCGGAGCGCGCCCCACAGAGCAAGTCCAGGATGTCGAGTTTTCACTCCCAGGCCAAGACCTCCAGAGACTCGAAAACATCGAGGCTGAGGTTTTGTCCGCTATGTTAGGCCGTCTTCAGGCCCCGAAACTGTCAAACACTGGGTGGGAAGCGAATCCCACTGATGGGGTTGAGATGACCAGGACCACGAGACTCAAATGTCGCGGGAGGTCTTGGGACGAGGACGGAGGAGAACCATCATCACCTCGAGGACAACAGAAGA